CACTAAACTCAAGCACATAAAACACACGAAAATAAGCACAAAAACACAATAAACACGTAATTAAATAAAGCGCAATCCACCTGCTCATGACGGAATGAATCCCCTATCCCTGCCTTTGAAGTCGAAAAATCAATTCGACAAAACAAAGATAAAACGCAATCAACCTGCTACTGGGATCAAAATCACAAATACAGCAGAACCAAACCAAATAAAACCATCCATCTGCTCAAATTATCCATAATAAACTCCCGCGACTGGGATTGAAATCACAAATACAGCAAAACCAAGTCAAATAAATCTGTTACGCTGCTCGAGCTATCCGTAGCGAGTTTGATCAACCTGCCACTGCCTCCGAGGTCTACTCGAACTATCCGTGTCTTCACGACCCAACACTGGGATCGACCACCCATCCCGGAGGCCTTAGTCATGGTGGATTTTGTCTTCCCTAAACCTGCCACTAGGTTAGGAACAAATGTACAATGATAACAAACCAAATAGAACCGAATAGAAATCCTCGACCTGCCTCCGAGGTCTGCTCGAGCTATCCGTGTCTTCACGACCCAACACTAGGATCGACCACCCAGCCCGTAGGCTTTAGTCATGGTGGATTTTGTCTTCCCTCAACCTGCCACTGGGTTAGGAACAAATATACAATAACGCCAGATCAAATAGAACCGAATAGAAATCCTCGACCTTCCTCCGAGGTCTGCTCGAGCTATCCGTGTCTTCACGACCCAACATTAGGATCGACCACCCAGCCCGGAGGCCTTAGTCATGGTGGATTTTGTCTTCCCTCAACCTGCCACTGGGTTAGGAACAAATATATAATAATACCAGATCAAATAGAACTGAATAGAAATCCTCGACCTGCCTCCGAGGTCTGCTCGAGCTATCCGTGTCTTCACGACCCAAAACTAGGATCGACCATCCAGCCCATAGGCCTTAGTCATGGTGGATTTTGTCTTCCCTCAACCTGCCACTGGGTTAGGAACAAATATATAATAATACCAGATCAAATAGAACCGAATATGAATCATCGACCTGCCTCTGAGGTCTGCTCGAGCTATCCGTGCCTTCTCACTTGTCCACCCAATCCGAGGGATGTTCAAAACAGGGGGTCAGCCTGCCCATCCCAAGGGGTGTACTAACCAAACGACCACCCAGCCCGGAGGCCTTAGTCATGGTGGAATTTATCTTCAGGCACTTGCCGACTCTGAGGGGGCCTATCGAAACAAGCGACCACCCAGCCCGGAGGCCTTAGTCATGGTGGATTTTTTTTCTTCAGGCACTTGCCCACTCAATCCAAAGGATGTCCGAAACAGGGGGCCAGCCTGCCCATCCCAAGGGGTGTACTAAACAAGCGACCACCCAGCCCGGAGACCTTAGTCATGGTGGAATTTGTCTTCAGGCACTTGCCGACCCCAAGGGGGCCTATCGAAACAAGCGACCACCCAGCCCGGAGGACTTAGTCATGGTGGATTTTTTTTCTTCAGGCACTTGCCCACCCAATCCGAGGGATGTTCTAAACAGGAGACCATCCTGCCCATCCCAAGGGGTGTTCTAAACAAGCGACCACCCAGCCCGGAGTCTTTAGTCATGGTGGA